GCCTTGGCTTGTTCACATAAATTAGAAATTTATACTGTGTTCTATGGCAGAAAGTTAAGTAACATTTTTTTTTTACTTTGGCTTATGGTTTAAAGAGGAGGACTGGATCTCAAAGCTGAGATCCAGATCTGAATTTCCAAACCCTGTACAATAACCTAGGATTTTGGTTTAGGCCTGTTTCTAAGCATACAAATGAGTAGTTGTGTGGCACCTCAGAATACCAATGTGTTTTAAGTATAGTCTGATGGAAGCTGCTTCATTATAGATTTAAATGCAATAAAATATAACACAGATATATTTCTTCAAGAATATTTTTCTCTTAAAAGCCCTAGTTCAAGAATGCACTTAAAAACCTGCTTAAGTGCTTCCCTTAATAGAGATGTCATCATGTATTGGAGCCAAAATGAACTTGGAGCTTAGAGGTATCAAATTCATAGCATTGGAACTTGTGACTTTCTGTTTTGTCACAAAATCAGAATGAATAACGGTACCACAGCTTTCTCCAACCAAGATGCCTCACCTCAGACCTGGATAAAACACTTTCAAATATCTCTCTAAGGCAGGCAAAAAGTTTTTTTTAAGATTACATGCCTGTTTATAATTTGAGCCAAGACCTCAAAGGTAACTCCTTCTGAGGTTAGATGCCTACATTCTTTGAGGAACTGGGTTTTAGTACTGTGGCAGGGCATTGCTCTGCACTGGCCTTTTAAGGGGCTGAGACCTGGAGTCAGGGGAGGCCCAGCTGAAGCAAATAAGGAGGGCCCAGCTGGAGACTATAAGAGCAGCTCCTGGGAGGAGGAGAGAGAACCTGCCTGTCTGCCGGCAATGAGAGAGGCTTCAGCCTAGCAAACCCAGGCTACCCGGCCTGAGGCGCAGGGCTGCAAGGAGGCAGCCCTAAAAGGCTGGGCTGCAAGGAGGCAGCCGCGGTTCTCAAGGAGACAGCTGTGGTAGGCTGGGGAAGTTTGAGCCAGGGAAGCCCCAGGCCATAAGTCCACAAGGCAGGGTTGTAGGAGGCAACCAGGCAGGCAAGGCAGAGTGGGAGTAGAGCTGGGGGTCCTAGGGAGTAGGAAGGACCATGGAGGAGGAGCAGGGGAAGAACAGTGATTCCCCTCCCACCTCCCCTCAGAAGGGGGCGCAGACCAAGATTGGGAGTGGTCACTGCCGGAGGGCAGTACCCTGAAGACGACACCACACCCAAAGGGCGCCTTGGAGCAACTAGCTACTTCCCCAAAACCACCCTGAGGGAAGAACCTGTACTGAAAGGCTGTGTCTACACTGGCACTTTCTTGCGTGAAAACGGCCGCTCTTGCGCCGCCTGTCTACACTGGCCGTGTATTCTTGTGCAAGTAAACTGACGTTGTACTGTAGAAAATCAGGGCTTCTTGCGTGAGAACTCTGACACTCCCTCTCAGGAAGAAGCCCTCTTGTGCAAGAGCTCTTCCAGAAGAGGCCAGTGTAGACAGGCAACATGAATTTCTTGCGCAAGAAACCCCTATGGTTAAAATGGCCATCAAAGCTTTCTTGCGGAAGAGAGCGCCTACACTGGCATGGATGCTCTTGCGCAAAAGCACATGCCAGTGTAGATGCTCTCTTCTGGAAGAGTTTTTGCAGAAGCACTCTTCTGCAAAAGAGTTTTTGTGCAAGAAGCTGCCAGTGTAGATATAGCCTTCTACGTTTTTGTGCAAGAGCAGCCATTTTGCACAAGATTGTGCCAGTGTAGACACAGCCCAATGCTAATGCACCAGTGGCTGAAATCAGGGCTGATTCCCCCTCTAGAATATGGAATCACACATTCCAAATGTAGGGATGTTGTTGGTGATGTAAGTACTTGTACCACCTTACAAATAAGACTGAAGTCAGCAACTCCTTTTGATAGCCCACTTAAACCCAAATGGTAGTTATGTTTCACCACTATCAACTTGGTTCAAATTCGTACAAGTTACATACAGATGAAAGGATCTACACTTCACAGCAACTGAGAGCATCACTGTGTCCTGTACAGAGTACTTTTCAAAAACAAAGCAAGCCACTTTCTGAAGCAAAATGAACTGGATTTTCAGCTGCAAAAGAATATTATTTTTAAAGCTCTTCTCTGGACAGATGTATTGTTTAAATGAACATTTCTTTGTGCCCTAAAGTGTAGATTTATTTATTTTTAGCCCTTGAATAAATCAAGACATTTTAAAAAAAAGGAATTCATCTTTTAAAACTGTATGGCTACGTCTACGCTGGCGCTTTCTCACACAAAAACTCTTTTGCGGAAGAGTTCTGCTGCAAAAACTCTTCCAGAAGAGAGCGTGTATACCGGCATGTGCTTTCGCGCAAGAGATGTGCTTTTGCACAAGAGCATCCATGCCAGTGTAGATGCTCTCTTGCGCAAGAAAGCTCTGATGGCCATTTTAACCATAGGGCTTTCTTGCACAAGAAATTCATGTTGCCTATCTACACTGGCCTCTTACGCAAGAGCTCTTCCGCAAGAGGGCTTATTCCTGAGTTGGAGCGTCAGAGTTCTCGCGCAAGAAGCCCTGATTTTATACATTAGAACGTCAATTTCCTTGCACAAGAACACGCGGACAGTGTAGATAGGCAGCACGTTTTTGCGCAAGAGCGGCTGCTTTTGCGTGAGATCGCGCCAGCATAGACACAGCCTATAGGTCTACAGGATTTCTGCTCACCCAAAAGATCTTTTTTATAATCCCAATTCATTCTTAGTTCCTTACTGCTTGTTAAAGCTATTTAAACCAATACCTTGAAATAAAACTTACTGTATAGCAGGGTTCTAAGATAAGGGTTGTGACCCCTCAGTTTGTCAGCCCTGAGCTCCCATTAAATTACATTTCCTCTCCTGTTTTTAATTTATAAGCGGGGGGGAGGAGGAGGCACACTCAGCTGCTTGCTGTATGCAAAGGGTGAAGAAGAAAAAGTTTGAAAACCACTGGTATAGCTGGAACTCCTCATGAGTATTCAAAACAAGACTCTTTTGGCAGATAATGGAAGGTGATTTGTTTATTGCTTTAGACTACGGGTGTTGGGTATTTAAGGCAGAGCCTTCCCAACCTCCAGGCATAACCCTGCCCACACTCAGCCACAGAATGCCCCCAGCACCTGTCCTCAGCTGCTTCTGAGAATTAGTAGAGGTGCATAAGGTCTGTGCAAGAATGAGTTGCCTATGTGCAGTTTACCACTTCTGTTCAAGCCAATGGGACTTATGCACATTTTGGGTGCATCTACTCAGCACCCTAAACTCAAAATAAGATAATTTGCGTTACACAAATTGCGTATTTTATTTTGAAACAGCTTATTTTGAATGTTGATGCATCTACACAGCTCCAAGTTTTGAAGTAACATGCTATTTTTAGCCATCCCTTATTCCTCATGCAAGGAGGTTTACCAGAATGGTGAAATAGCACGTGTGTTATTTAAAAAAATATTTTGAAACAACGGATGGCTTGTGTAGACCTCCTATATCCAGAAATAGCCATGCAGTGTAGATGTACCCTTTAAAAATAAACAAATTACATGAAGAAAAGGTCACCCCTTTTGCTCTGAACAGGAAACTGATCTACATAGCCCTGAAAATCTACCAATGCTCAGCAAAAGGGCAACATTAATAATAGAGGTAACTTGAGCCACATTAAGGCAGGATGTGCGCATGTGAGAGAAAGAGACAGAGATTTATCTGTTGTTGTTTTTTTAAATTATCCCAATTCAAATATTCAAAAACAGATTCATTTTCTCCTTAAATTTGAGGATATTCAGATCTGGGATTCTGGTTCAGGCTTACATATGTTTAATTTCTTCAACATCTTATGATTTTCTTGTGACAGTATTGAAGACTGGTGATCTAGGGGACACACAGCAAAAATAACTACCTTCATATAAGAACCTTCCCTTTTAAACAATGTTATTATTACAGTGACTCTCCTCCTTAGCAGATTCATAACATGATTCCCTTTGTTGGATTTTTTTGCGTAGTACATGCTATGGTCATATTTAATTTGATAGAGTTAAGTAGGACTAGGGTCCTTTTTCATCACAATTCTCTGTAGCAAACAGGTTTGTTTTTGTGGGGGGATTCTGGGGTCTCTTTAACCCTAACAACCCTTCCTCCCCCATGCTTTAAAATGACATACATACCAGGAAAGTAAACTTTATCCTTCACCCTATGTGCTCAAAGTTATATGCTGCCACAGTTAGTAATGGTGAGAACTACAATGTTATATTCCTCCATCTCAGTGACACCTTGCCTCTAAAATGAGAGAGTCTGAGAAGAAAATGTCACTATTTTAATAAAAATTGAGGAATGTCTGCTTCCTTCAGCTTTTAATAGTGGCCCAGTGGCAGGGAGGAAGCAGGCAGCACATTCACTGTACTGTTATTTTAGAAAAGCTGCTCCCTTAGGGCTTCTCATACTCAGCACCACACCCAACTCCACTGCACTCCTAAGGAGAGCAGATTTTCCAGTATGGTCGGAGTGCCTGGAAAATGTGTGGAAGCCAAGCTAAAAGTAAAGAAAGTGAGGTTTCCTATTTCTGTGTGTAGACTATAGAGAAACCCCATCCAGAAATGCTGTGGCTGAAGTGATTTGAATAATACTAATATTTGGAGTGGCATGAGCTAAGCTGCTGTTTGAGTCTCCCATCTTGTGTTCCGATAATTTTGCTCAAAAACATCAAACAGACTGAAGTTATTTTCATCTCAATGAGATTTTTAAGAAAATGTATTTAGTCCAGACTCAGGCATTACTGTGAATTGTGGATTTTGCACAATCTCTTGAGAGCCAGATTCTGTTTATATGCTTTCAAAATATCTAATAAAAATGCGTTCAAAATACTACTATGCAAGTGCTAAACTGTCTAGTTCTTTTTTATTTTAATATCCTCTAAGTCTATAGGGTATATTTGCACTCATTAATGCAATGTCTTGGCACGCAGTAATTTTTATTGTAGGGTATTAGCCTATGCCTTCCTTGCCACACAATAGCTTTTACAGTGCAGTAATTACTTACCTGGCAGGGAGATACCATGATCAGAAAGGTGGTTTTCCCAGGCTGAGGCTCATCTATTGCACTGTGGGAGTGCTGAGTCCTGTGATTTCCCCAAATGTGGGAAACACAACTGCATACCCAGTTTGGGTCTCTGACCATGAAATCCTAATGAAGCTGAAGTATTTACCTGGCAGGTGTAGCTACGTGAGCTTAACACTGTATCTTCCACCAATGTGTCACCTGGCCTAGTTATGTCAGGGTAAAAACTTAAGATGCCTTTATAAATGTATTAAAATTACTGCTTCAACTTCTAGGGGCCCTGTGAGATGCTTCGTTAGTTAATGCTAGTAAAGCACCTTAGAGTAGTGTAGACGTTTGAGTAGAATATATGTAACAAAGCAACTACACCTAGTCATGCTGCAAAAGAGGTTACCTTTGCACCCTCTCTGGAGGGTGTGGACAGGCAATTGTCCCTTAAACTTGCAGCTGCCAGACTAAAGCATTTTCATTCTTGCACCACTGACTGATTTTTACCCTTGGCAGGCCCCAGAATACAGCTACAGCTCTTGCCCACCTCCTCCTGCCAAGATACAGCTACAACCGAGAGACACCTCCCACCCAGGATACAGCTACAGCCCATACACCTACGTTACAGACAGCCCCAGCTTCCAGCCTTACACCCATCAACGTGCACGTACAGCTTCAGTGCAGTGACAGTCCCACCCCCTTGCTTCCCAGGGTACAGCTACAGCTCCCCCACCAGTCACCTCCTGTCCCAGCTTCCCTGGCTACAGACACATCAGTGGCACCTCCTGCCCCCATCATACAGCTCCAGGCCCCCCTTGCCCTCCACCAGCTCTTGTTACCCGCAGACCACTGTCCCACCGGTCCCAGCCCCCAGTCACCCCTCTTGGACCCCTCCCCCTGCTCCAGTCTCCAGTCACCCCCTTGGAGCCCCATCACACACTCCAGACACGCCCCT